AGTTGCTGGAAAAGGTCATGCCACATCTAATTCTCACACATTTGAGTACAACTTGATGATTGCATCTACTTCTCCTGCTACCTGTAAGTAAATCTTTGCAACTTATACAAGGTTTTTGAAGGCAAACAAATGATTTGAAAGACATCCCTCTTATATTATCAATTATCTGTCTCAACCCTTCATTACTGATACTGTCATAATTATGACAAATTTCTAGTGACAAGATGATTTCTCAGAATTAGAATTAAGAGATGGACTTATAATTTTACTCAACCTGTTTTTTTGGGCAGTGGTCGGTCCAACCGGCACTCAAAATTAGTGATCACCATGGAAACGCTCTGACCAGGACAATTTTCTTATTATTATAATTACGCACTGACCAACACGTATCTTGCCAGTCTTGGATTAGAATTTGTAAACAATGGACCTATGCTCGTCGCACAATGTGGTAGCAGCTTATAAACAATACTAGTCAATTTTCTAAAATTAGCACTTCACGTTTGTACTTTCTGACGATACACAAACTTGTATAATATACATAATTATCTTCAGATTTTAGGGGTTCCTAGATTCACCTTTAAAAATGATGTTAATGTTGACACTTTGTATTATTTTTTAAAAAAGACAAAAAACATGAAAGGATCATCTAGCTTCATCTTGTAATTGTTTAGAATATAATTACGTAACTATTGATAAAGGTACTCACACATCTAGTGTATTCTTGTTTGCAGGTAGCTTTGGTGGTGCTTGTACCCTTGTAGTCACTGGTGATGGTTTTGATGATGAATACACTGTGGTAACCATTGATGGCAATAATTGCCCTATTAGTAGTGTTACAGCTACAAACTTACAGTGTGAAATACCTGCCAACAACAATCTTGGTGAGTTATATCTTGCAAGTCAAGTGATAATATTATGATTTACTTGCTCATTCAATTAATTTTTGATTAATTAATATTACTGACAGTTATTTTTATACCATATGATTGTTGTAATTACATATAACAATTTTCAGGTGATATTTCTCATATTGTTTTGTTTCAGCACTTGGTACATATACCTGTGATATACAAGTGTCCATTTCAACAAGTACAGCTGTAGCCATTGAATCTAATGCACTGACCTATGATAGCTCTATCACACCCATTATAACGTCAGTCAGTCCAAGGAGAGGTGGTACAGGTGGTGGAACTCCTATTACAATTACTGGATCTGGATTTCGGTAAGTGTTATTAGGTATACTAAATTTCAAGAAGAATTTTCTTGGGAATCACAGTACATTTGTTTATTCCTATCGATATAGACAAAAAATAACATTGGTTGCTGGTTAAATGATTGAGGATTATTTGTATTGTAGTGATGGTGAGAACACCGTTACCATAGATGGAAGTTTGTGTGTGATATCATCAGAAAGCACCTCTGAGATCATCTGTGAAACTGAACCCAATTCTAGAAGTATTGAAACTAAAGTAAGAGTTCTGGTAAATGGTGACGGGATAGCAACACAGGTAAGTCTTTGTTGTCACCTCTGCGATATACACTTGTTGCTGTGGCATCAATTGCATTTTATGTTTCCTCGCAATGAAATGTCTAATCTATGTGTCATTACCATATTTGAATATAGATCATTTGTTACATTGCTATACTCCATACATTAGTTTACATGAAAACTAATAAAGTTGAAATAATTGATGTCAATTTTATTCAGTGTCAACAAATTTTAATTGTCTTTTTTATATTACATAGGATGATGCTGATTTTGAATATGTTGATTTGTGGTCCAGTACATGGACTTGGGGAGGAAATCCCTTGCCTATTGAGGGTGACTTTGTTGTCATTCAACAGGGACAGCGCATAGTGTTAGATATTGACACCCCTGTCTTAAAGATGATACTAATTCAAGGTAAATGAGTATTTTTGAAATTGACATAATGTTTATAGTTGTATTTTATTTTTTTTAAAAAACTTAATGGTAAGATTGGGCTACTTCTTGTCTATTTTATTCTACTTTGATTATAAGTGCTTGTTAGTCCCTGTTAGAATGCGGTTTTAAAACAGGGACTTATGGATTGACCCCTGTTTACAATGTGCATCTATGTGTACATGTGCGTTGGTCAGTTCATTCAATTATGTATCTCTGACATGCCTTGGCCATTCACATTCATACATACACAATATATATTTTAGAATGCATATGCTCATATTTTAAGATGGCCAAATGACAGAAAACGCAAATTTCTTTAGGTCTTTACATTTGTTTATTTCTGTGTGCAGGTGGTGCTTTAATCTTTGATGAAGCTGATTTAGAACTGAAAGCTGAAAATATCTTAATTACTGATGGTGGTCTTCTACAAGTTGGAACTGAAGAGGAACCATTCCAGCATAAAGCAATAATTACCATGTATGGTAATGTTCGATCGGTTGAGATGCCGATTTATGGGGCTAAAACTCTGGCTGTTAGGAATGGAACACTGGATCTTCATGGTAAATTTGTTTTAAATCCTCATTACAGCTACATTTTGAATGACTGTAACACTTGACATTTTCAACACCATTAGTTGATGCAATTTTAGGGCAATTACGAAGACAACATTTCGTATTACTTTTACTCCTAATTATTCTCTGCTATTAGGTTTCAAGATTTCCAAGACTAGCAAAAAATGTGTATGTGTTTCTATGGAATCAAATCTGGATACACCAGCTTTTTTGACCCCTGTGTGGAAAGCACACAGTGGGAGTCTTTGCTGTTGATGTGTGTATGTGTGCGTTTGTGGTGTCAACGTAATGACTACTTTCATTTAACGTTACACCTATGACAGACCTACCAAGTCACCACCCTCACTATTTTGGAAATTTATATTTATTTAATATTTAATCAAATTTAAGTCAAATTTTGCGTTCATTAGGGTTAGTAAAGGGGGAGCGTATGGTACACTTTATATTAATATAATTGTACCATACCCTACCCCCTTTACTAAACCTAAACTTCGCAAACACTTCTATGTTAAGTCACAGGATATTTAACTTTTATTAGCTCTGCTGTCGACTTTGTTGAGCCGAGCTTATCATAAGTGATTGTTCGTGGTCGTCTGTGTCAACTTTTTACTTTTTCGACTTGAAAACTACAATTCTTATTGCTATGATACTTGGTGTATATGTATCGTGATGATATCTTTAATTCTCTAATTTTGATGAATATTTTTGTAATTTTTTTGTCACGCCCAATATACATGAAGATCTTGAACACAGACACACATACATTTTTTTTACACAATATTGTCGGCCACCAATCATTTCACTGCGGGATATATTTCAGGGAACATAACATTTTTTGCCAGATCTTTTAATTTATTTCAAGACACATTTGTACTACAGTATTTAAATTGTCGGGAACGTCATATATTAAAAATCAAGAAGCATACTTGACGTATTGTCGGGGGTGTATTTGTTGACGAGCCCCTCGAACAAACTCCGCTATTATCATGTTATCATGACCAACCAGGCCCGTCACATCCACCAATGAACTAATCAAGGCCAGTACCCACAGCTTGGTTTTATATTTTAGGAATTATCATCATATTATAATTAAACTTGATGCATAATTATGAACATACAGCATGCTAATTGCCTAATTTGCATGATGCGCATAATCTTCACATTCCATTGAAATTTTGTTCATAGATGCTCTGGAGTAATCCACAGAAGTGATTACCAGGGTAGTTTAATGTCGTTATTTATTAATAGCCAATTTCTATTGTCAGATTTAAGTTGTGGTATGTGCTCTGGAAATTTTGTAAACCACAGATGTGAAATAAATAATTTTCTTTGAGTATTTTTATAAACTTCAATAATGTGGATCACATTGTTTTCACATTGTGCATCTAAAATAGCAGACAAATATTAGCTGCCAAGCATCTTGTTTGAATAGCTTTATCTTAAATTTTTAATTAATTTTTTCGTATGTCTCAATACCCTCAGCACACTGGAGTTCTTTCTAAGCTTTCTTTGATTGTTTTTCAAGTTCGACACCCAATTTGCCCAATCTTGTAAATATTGTTCCATATTATAGGCATTCCCATTCCCGTGACTTGGACTTACTTGGCTGAAACAGCTCCAGCTGGAGCAACTCAGATAACATTGATGCAAGAGGTTACTTGGCAGGTTGGTGATGAAATCGTTATTGCTACTACAAGTCGCATGGATAGCGTGTTTGAAAATGAACAGCTGACCATTACAGGTGAGGACCATTATTTGAACAATAATTGATTGCCCACCAACGCATAATGCATGTATGGAACTAGTGTATAAAAATGCAATTCTTTTTTCGTAACACTTTTATGGGTAAAATAGCAATAGTCTGTGGGATGATTTTATTTGTGGTTTTGAGTCAACATTTAGACTTTCATACAGTCTCTTGTTTTGCCATTTATACACTCCCATATTTTATTTTATTTAAAAAAACACCCCCCCAAAAAAAGAGACTGTATGCAAGTCTTGTCAACATTGTGAGTGGAGAATAAAGTAAAATGAAATCTGCTGTCTCCATATTGCCACATGCTTTGTTGAGTCTTTCAACGTTGTGAGTGAGAACAATGTTGTGACAAACATATCAACATTGAATGTAAATATTAAGTCTGATTTTTCTGGAGAGACTGTGTTGAAACCATGGTCATCATCTCAATGTCAGCCAAAAACATGACGATATGCTAAGGATATTCACTTAACAGGCAGGAGTTTTTATGTGCGTGGAATCATTGTGGTAGCTGACATGTACAGTGTATATATAGCTGAGTGTGTTGTGAGTGTTGCATCTGTTCATGTTGGGAGTGGAAACAATGTTGTGATGAAAGCTATCATCATCGGTACTGTATTTAAATAAATAAGTCTGGTAAGAGTTCGTTAGAGCCTCCTCACCCCTAACCATCTCCCTCCAGTGCTTCTCCCCTATTTCAATTGTATATACACTTTAGGTTACTTATAGTTATTTGAAGGGGCATACTGAAAAAAATTGGGGGGCTGGATTGTTAGGGTTAGTGTTCGAGTTAGAGATTAGAGGTGTCTTAAGGAACTCTTTCCATAAGCCTGATGAATGTATTACGTTTTTTTGTGAAGAAACTCTGACATCCCTTGGTCTTTGGCGAGTACGTTAGATTCAATTCTTTGGAGAATGCAAAAAGTGTTGCCGACCGTATCAGGCTATTCCTTCCTCAGTTGCTATGAACATGGACACTGAGAGTCTCAGCTTCACACACAATTGAATTTTTGTGATTGCAAAGAACACATTCTTGAAATGAATTTTAATATTATGGAAGTTGGAGTACAACCCATTGTCATTGCTTTCACTGCATGATATTTTATTTAAAGAAATTATTAGCACTTTTTAAATATAACTCCAGTATTGACAGTGTTTTGATAATAGATAAAATGTATTCACACAATAATGTTTATGTCTTTTCTTCAGTGCTTAGTCAGTCGTAATATGTTTGTTCTTGGGCCAAATAATGCACCTTGGATGGAAAATGTCTTTGTCATTGCTAATTTTTATTCCGAAAATTCAACCAGACAAAATTTCTTTTCTGAAAACCTGACCGTTTTTCAAAACTTATTATTCAAATGTAGTTGACATTTTTGTGGTATTATATTATTATATCAGCTGATTTTGTACACTGTACATTGCTTATTTTATTCTCTTTATTTCAGCTGTATCCAATAATGGTCTGACTATAGAATTCCAGCCTGCATTAGAATATGAGCACATCTCAATGGAAGAGACAATAGATGGTGTAGTTTTAACAACTAGAGCAGAAGTAGGTTTACTAACACGCAATGTACTTGTTAGAGGATCTGTGCACAGTCAATGGAATGATGTTATTGAAGCTTGTCCTGAAGAGTTTGATACAGGTATGTACTTAATTATATACTTTAATAAATATGTTTCTTAACAACTCTACTACTATATAAGGACAGTAAATTGTCACATACTGTACCAATGTAACACTTCTGGTTTGACTGGTGGCCATTTGTAGTTCCTGTTGAACGCCATTTGATACTGGGACCTATATCTTAGACATGCCTGGACCAATTACATTCAAACTCCACATATACATCACACATAATATTATACATATGCACATCAATTTGTTTCACAATCTGATGCAAGATGCTGAGTGGCGGCCATTTTTGTGCTAAAATCATCAAAATCAAGCATTTCTGGCATTCTGAAACTGTATCTTGACTGTTTACAGATGGATTTATTCAAACTTAGTACATACATTGGACATTATGGGACCTTGATAGTCATCATTTTAATTATCAGATTTTTTTTCAAAATGAATGACTGACTGCCATTTTGTTTTAATGAATGTGGTTCTAGAGCCATATCTCAGACATGCTTTGACTGATTATGTTCAAATTTTATTTATTCATTATACATCATGTCATAAATATATAGATGTATTTCTTTGACGATTCGATTCAAAATGGCCGAATGTTGGCCAAAAATCACAAAAAATTAAGCATTTCTGGCATTCCGGAACTTGTCAATTACTATGAAATGTTAACCAAGTCTAATTTTGGTGTGACTAGAAAGTGTAATTTTCAAGATTAAAATTATGCACAGAAAGGAAGCATTTATACTGCTTATAATAAGAACTACATGTTAGTAATAAGATCTCTGAGATATGTGTATCAGATAAGTGTTGTCAATAGGTTATTTTTATTATGTAGTATAATTATAAATAAAAAATGTACTGTACCCCGGTACTTTTCCCACGAAATACGGCTAGTATTTGCCTAGCTAGATTTTGCTTATAGATATTACTGTTCTGTGCTATTATTTGGGAACTTTTATAAAGTTTATGTAATATTATTGTACAAGGAACATTATTATAAAAAGTAGTTACATTGTATTTGAGGATTATAAATACATGTAATAAATATCTTTTTATGTTATTATCATATGACTTCATTGTTTTTCTCTATTTTTGGTCTGAATTGTTTCACCTAAATTTTAGCCAGTATTTTTAGTGAAAATATTAAAATACATTATTATTGCATTGTTTCAAGACTTCATTGTTTCAAGAAAATTCAGTCAAATTCGGTCCTTGTGTGTCCATCCTCATTTCTTGGAGATGGCTTGACCAATTTTGTTGAGACTTGTTATAAAGACAAAGGGACCACCCATACAGATGCACATTGTTCTACTTTTTTGAAATGATAAAATTTTGATTGTTAATCATTGCTTTTGTCTGTCCATTGATATTTCTCAGAAATGCCTTGACTGATTTCATTGATACTAGGTACAAAGACATAGTGAAGAGGTATACATATTCACATGGATTTATTTCCTGATTTGATCAAATATGGCTGTCTGGCGGCCATTTTAAATGTCAAAATCCTGTAAAATTTTTGGGTGTGTCCATCATTTCTCGGAGATGCCTGGACCGAATTTGCTGAGACAAAGACAGAGTGATCACTGGTACAGATGCACTTTGATTTATTTTTTCAAGGAATCAATTAATTAGCTCATTTGCATATTTAATTATTAATTTGAATTCTTGTTAATGTATTGTGAACTAATAGTCCAAATCAGACCAAGCTTGGTAGAGACTTGATTTGTCAATATAAGATATATGCTATGCAATATTGTGTTTCATTTTAATTAACAAGCTCATTTGCATATTTAATGAACTTTGAATTTTTGTTGATATCTTGCAAACTAATAGTCCAAATGAGACCAAAGTTGGTATAGACTTACTTGATCAGTCAATATACGATATGTGCTGTGCAATATTGAGTTTCAACTTAATTAACAAGCTCATTTGCATATTTAATTAATTTTGAATTTTTTTTAATATCTTGTGAATAGTTCATGTATTTGCTATTTAATATTGTCTCAATTGAATTTCTATATTCAATTGATTGTGAATTTTTGTTAAAATCGATGCAAATTTTACAATATTTAATAGATGTCCTAACTGTTAACTTTGATACTTTTGATTTTCAACTTAATCTTCCTACCCGATTTTATACATATCAACTATAATCACATCTGACAAGTGGGGGGGCTGTGTCATCTTCATGTGTCATGTAGCTTCTTAATGGGCATAGTCGCACTATGTTCTTTCATTGTATTGAAATTGATTGCTCGGGCACAGCATTATATGTGTTATGCAAGCAAAGTCACATACTTTCACTCGATAATTCAGTAATGCAATCCCAGGAAATGTGAATTTCATTGTAATGGCGACGGAGATACTAGCACAGAGTTTCAATTGGTGCCTTCTTTTTTTGGTGCCAAATCCTGTGTCCCACTTTTTGTGGAATAAACATCATTCAAGTTTTATTGAATTGCAATTTTTCAACTTTTATTGAGATGCAAATTTATTCCTGTATCTCAACTTCATATCACAACTTAAGTGAAATTGTGTCTCTTTTGAGAATAAACATTGAATTTCTCAAGCAAACCATATGAGAATCGATTTTTAATATTTACAAAATAGAGAGTGGTGTTAATGTTCAAAATGTATGAAAAACAATCATTAATTCTGCTCTTGATCGATCTTAAACATATGTAGACATCAATTGTTCAAACTTAGTACAAATAGGACTTTGATGCACGTCATTTTGTTTTCCAGATTAGCTGACTGATGGAAAATTTGTGTGAATAAGGAAAGGCGACCATAGATATAGCCAAAACAAATTAGAAAAAGCGACATTATAAACCAGTTCTGATTAAAAATGACTGACTCAATTCAGTTTTATTTACTATTGACCAACAAGACATGACTTGTTTTAATTTTTTTTTTATAGATCAGTTTGCCACTCAGACATGTATCCAAGGTAGATTTGGTGAAGAGACTGGCAGTGACAGTTTTGGCATTCAAATTAAACTTGGTGCTAAGGAGCAGGATGCAAACTTGGTTACTGGAAGAATTGAATACATTGAAGTAACACATGCTGGTCAGGCTTTTCGCCTTGGTCGTTACCCGATTCATTTCCACATGAGCGGTGATGTGTCTGGTTCCTATGTCCGTGGATGTGGTATTCATCACACATTCAATCGTGCTGTGACCATACATGGTGTACGTAATCTGTTAGTTGAACACAACGTAGCATTTGATATTATGGGTCATGCTTATTTCATGGAGGATGGCATAGAAACTAACAATATTATACAATATAACTTGGGTATCTTTGTAAGGGCAACTTCTAGTTTACTCAATGGTGACATAACACCGGCTGTTTTCTGGGTTAGCAATCCGGATAATATTGTTCGACACAACGCTGCAGCTGGGAGTACACATTTTGGTTTTTGGTATAAAATGCTTGCACATCCTGATGGCCCATCTTTTACTTCCACAATATGCCCAAGGAACATCCCAGTAAAAGAGTTCAAGAACAATACAGCGCATTCCCTAGGGTGGTATGGACTATGGGTTTTCCCAGAATACACACCGATGGAAGGCGGTACATGCAGTTCAAAAACACCAACACTTAGTCATTTTTACGACCTGACTTCATGGAACAATGAACAAGGAGCCGAAGTTGTTCACTCTGGTCCTGTGCAGCTGCATGAATTTGTGGTATTCAACAATGACAAGGCTGGAATTGTAATGGGTGAAGTGAGCGGTGGTTATGTTGATGGTCCTATGGTGAAAGATTCAGTTGTCATTGGTCATAGCAGCATTATCAATGCATCAGCATCATGTACTATTGCAGGGATAAAAACACCCAAGTCAGCTTTTTTGACTGTCGATGGCGTTAAATTTATCAATTTTGATGAGGACCGTTGTGCAGCTCTGAGAGCCTGTGCACATTGCAAAACCCGACAAGGAGGATGGAAAACTAAATTTCAGAATTTAGAATTTTTTAACTCACCAAACAAAGTTGGTTTTCAGTGGGAGCATGAAGCTGTATATGTTGATTTGGATGGTTCACTGACTGGCAGTGCTAATTATATTGTAACCCCTAATAATGGTCTTCTTCCATCCGATCACTGTGATGCCACTGATCTAGCATTCAACATGGGTACTTCACCAGGGGCTGTGTGTGATAACTCTGTGAAAATACATCGTTTCGCATTCAACCGTCCCACTTCCTCTTTGCTATACAAAGGTGTTAACTTCATAAATGACTATGGCTCAAGCATCGTCCCATATGAAAAGGTGCGTCTCACTCACTTAAATGGTTGGATGATTACTCTGGTAGATGGAAAGAATTACAACATGGTATGGGAAGATGCTGAACAACTCACAAATATCTCATACGTTGGCACTCTCTATAATATGGAACCTACTGATTATGTTACTATAAGTCACTCTGTTGCACAAACTCCTGACCGCTTCTCTATTCTTGGTCATATGGCTGACACTACTGAAAAAATGGTGACCTATGATGATAATGACAATGGTGACTTCTACTTTGATAATGCTACTCATTCTGTGTCATATCTGTGTAAGTATAGAATTTTATTGTTGTACATGCTTTCTATATTACACCCACACTTGTAAGCCTGACTTTGGTTGTATTAATCAACTAAACTGTAGCTGAACTGTTTGTTATATGATTTTGAAAAATACATAATAGCCATTTGCATATACAGTCCATATTTTTGGTTTTGTGCATCCGGTGTAAATTCTCAACATGCCTGGACTGATTATATTACATCATTATAATACATATAGGGTATACATGCATGTCATTTGTTTAACATTTTGTTGACTGACACATGTAGTCATGTATTTTAACCATTTTTTTCAGGTACACTTTCACTGATTTGATCACTCTGGAAATAAATCTCAGTCATTTTGCAGCTGCATTTTCATTATTTCACAAATCTGACATTTTTATTATTCCACTAGTTTTGTATGGGCGGATTTGGTACCAACCGTAAACAATATATAGGAACTTGGGGATTCATGTTTTTATCTAAACCTTTGATTCTGCTCGTAATATTAAATTTTTTTTCCTTGTCTGTATCGTCATAGATGAAAAGCAGGGTATATGCGAGGGGAATGTGTGTCTTT